GCCCCGGGCGGCGCGCACAGGCGGCAGGTGCGCGCCGCGTTCCCACTCGCCGTCTTGGACTCACCGCGGTGGACTCGAGCGGCTTGTGCAGCGCGCAGTGCAGTCTGCAGAGCAAGTAGAACACCACCAACGCCAAGCCAAAGCTACCGAAGGCCAACGCCTTCCGGACACACGGCAGCCGACGCACCGGGCAGCCCGCCACCTCCTCCATCACGGCCCGGGATGCATCCACTGGGGCTGGGGCGCAGGGCATGCAGGAAGCCCTGGAAGAACTGGGAAGCCACCGAAGACAGCCCTGGGGCTTCTGCAGGCTTTAACCTGTGAGGGAGCGGCCCGCCCCTCGCTGGGGATGCCCCGCCAATGGGAAAGACTCTGAGCTGCAGGGAATCCCCTCTGGCTTCCCTAAGCCCCCAAATACCAGGTGGGACAGGGCAGAGTGAGAGGGCGACGACGGGGTGGCCCAGGGTGGCCCCGGGGAGTCGCCCGCCCCCTTCCTGTCCTGAGGCAGGGGACGTTCAGTTTCCTATTTGGTTCCTGGCTCTCGGCCTCCTCCTGGAGTTCATTCATTCACTCAAACCTTAATTGAGCATCTCTTAGAGACAAAACGCGTGCTGGCCACAGGTTCAGGGGGAAGCCAGGGAGTGGGGGACACACATGTCCCTGAGCCCTTTCCATCTTCCCAGCTTCCCTGGAGGTCAGGCGGCCGACCTGCCCAACGGGACCAGAGTAGTGACGCAGGGCACCTCCGAGCTGGCTCTTCCAGGCATCCCACATGGCACAACCGTTCTCTCCGCCGCCTCCTCCTGCTTCCGGTCACCTGTTCCCGACGGCTGCACTGGCGCGAACTGTCTGCTCCGATTTCTGTATTCCTGGGATCCCGGGGTGTGAACTCACTGGGAGATAGGGTCTTTGCTGATGCCCGGAGGATGAGGGTGGGCGTAAATCCAATGATTGGTGTCTTTATGAGAAGGAGATTGGCCCCATAGCCTAGTGGTTAAGGGTGCTCCCACTTAACGTGGCCAATCATGGTTTAAAGGCAGCTTAGAAAACAAACACTTTCTATCTTTTCCTGAGCCGTAGGTAAAAAGTAGAAGGATTTAATTGTGCTTTGGATTTCCAGTTTTCTTACGGTAAATAGGACCCTTCATACCACTTGTAGTTCTTTTTTTTTTTTTAATTTTAGTTTTTAGCCATGGGGCATGTGCACTCTTGAGAGAGACAGAGACAGAGGGAAAGTGAGAAATCACCCCCTTCCATCCCCTGCAGGGGATGGCTATGCTGCAATCCCTTCTCCTCTTGAGATTTTGGGCACACACGTATGTGCCCAGTGTGTTTTGAGCTACGGGGTCCGGGCCTCCATCCGTGGTCAGCCATGTGGGAGTCCAGCGCTGTAAGCACCATGCCACCTGCTGGTCCTTTTTCTCTTTTTCTGATGAGAAAAGCACACTTATAAAAAGCATGACAGGGACCAGCAGTTGGCAGAATGGCTATGTTGTGGACTCCCATGTAGTCGACTGCGGTTCGAGTCCCAGACCTGGTGGCTTAAACTCACACCGGACACGTGTGTGTGCGTGCCCAAGATCCTGAGAGGAGAATGGAGGAGAAGGGATTGCGGCATGGCCATCCCCCCCGAGGGGTGATTTCTCGCTTTCTGTCTCTCTGTCTCTCTCTGTCTTTGTGGCGAGCGCACGCGCCCTATAGCAAAAACCTCTCCAAAAAAAAAAAAAAAAAAAGACAGAGAGTTTACACCCTAAAGCATAACAATATCTTAGAAATCAGTAACAAAAAAAATATATAATACCAGAGAAGTGAAAAAAAAAAGAAAAGGGAACAGAGGAAAGTGAGAAATAGACTACAGGCTATATAAAGACTATCTAGTTAACCATTAACAGAAGAAAAGCCACTTTTTAAAAGAGAGGTTTTTGCTATAGGGCATGTGAGCTCCCTGGAGAAACAGAGGCAGATAGAAAGCGAGAAATCACTCCCTGAAGGGGTAGGGGACGGTCTCACTGCAATCCCTTCTCCATTCTCCTCCTGTGTGAGTTTGAAGCCTCAGGGCTGGGACTTGAACCATGGCTGGCTAATTGAGAGGCCCGCAACACAACCACTATGTGATCTTGTGATCTGAAAACAATCTTTTTTTTAAAGTATTATTTTATTTAACTCTATTTATTTATTTTTATCTTGACGAGAGAGAGAGAGAGAGAGAGAGAGAAAGCAAGCTACCACATCTGAGACTCCAACGGCAGTTGGCCACGTGGGAGTCCAGCGCCCTAACTCACCATGCCACCTGGCCCCGAAAACAGTCATTTTAAAAAAAAATTGTTTTCAGTTTGCTGTAGAGTACATGCGCTCATCAGAAAAATGGAGAGAGAGGTCAGGACGGGGTCGGAAATCACAGAGAATAATGGGAAATATCCACTGCATTCTTATGAGTCTAGCAAGCCATGTGTTACCACAGAGAGCAATAATAATCCATCCTGGTCCCCATTCTCAATGGCTTATAACCTCTTACTCAGACCTAGAGGCCTCCTGGTTCAAATATAAAAGTGAGGGGACCAGCACGTGGTGTGGTGGTTAAGGGCGCTGGACTCCCACATGGCTGACTACAGTTCGAGTCCCAGACCTGGCAGCTTGCTTTCTCACACTCTCTCTCTCACTCTGTCCCTCTCTGGTCAAATTAAAATAAATAAATAAAGTTAAAACAAAATAATTATTTAAAAAGTGGGTATTCTATTTAGTCACCAACACAAGGTTCTGAAACGCGATGTTGGAGCCCTTCCTACCGGAAGGATTCTGCCACGCCACGTCTTCTTCATTCCCCTCTCGGGATCTTGGGCACGCATGCACGTGTGCGAGTGACAGATAACTTCACATCTGGATTCTAAGATCGGAAGTCCACCCACATCTGCAGGAGGACAACCTGCTCAGATCTTTTTTTTTTTTTTTTAAGGGGGAGTTTTTTCCTAAGGGCA